CAACTTTTTTTCCTGCTAGCAACATGGGTGCAATTATGTGCAGCAATTCTGAGCCATATCCTAGCATTTTTGAATTGTGGATTCAGAGTATCCCACATACATAAACTGGAGGATTTTAGAAAAACTGAATTATGAAATTGGAGTTTGGGATGGTCTCAGCTGATGCCATGTTCACCTTTTGGAACAATCAATGTTTCATGCTACTGAATCTGAGTGCAATACTATGTATGTGCAGACATTTATACACACATGAAACTGCTCATGTAATATTGACAGGTGTGAAGTGATATGAGGCTTTTGGATATTCTTGCAGGTTTCCTGAATTCTGAGTGATTGACAGTCTTCACACATACACACAGAGAGAGGGGGGGGAGGGAGAGAGAATTAAAAAAACAATACTCAGGTTTTGAAATGCAGAAACTTAGAAAACATATAACGAGTTATTAACTAGAAATATTTTCAGAAAAAGTAAAAAGTATAAAGGGGGAAATGGTACCTCAGTTTTACATATCGCCGTACTGAAATCAGTACTTTTGTTTTTAATGAATCATATTTCCTGCAGTTTAAAAAAAGTTTTAAAAATGAAATAAAAATAAAAAGAGCAGAACTGTTAATGCCCAAAAAATGTTTCTCTTTTTACAAGTTGAAAAAACCCAAACAGAATAATAGAATAATTAAAATATCAATTTTGAATAGTTGTATATTTACTGAGTAGCATATTAGTTAAGCAAGATTCAAGTGATTACTTTTTAATTTCAACACTTATAACACATGATCATTTCTTACCCTTAAGAAGTATATGAAGCTACTTTATTGGACCATTTACCACCATACTGCCGGCTTTCTTCCTTTTTAGGACCTGGGAACCTTCTGCATACAAACTGTAGACTCTTCCACCAAGCCATATCCCCTCCCCAAATACATTTTGCTTAACTGGCTTTATTTAATTTATTCTTACTTTGGAAAGTGGTGACTGCATTCTTAATACACTGTCTTTTGGCCATCCAAATCCCATTAGCACTAATGAGACTTATGCTGTTAAAAATGTACTGCTTCAACCTGTGAATGTGACCCCATGGTGCTATCTCTGCCTTCTTAAGCTTTTGTTATTTTGAGAGGAAAGACAGGTAGTCTGTTTTGTACTTTGGTGTAAACACTGAAATTCTACTTCTACAGTTGAATTATGTTCTAACATCTAGGAAAGAAACCTATATTTTATAGATACTAATACAATCCTATATTTATTTTCTTGTCATTTGGCCCCATTGGGCTAGCACATACTCCATAGCGAGTGCAAACACAATCACAGCCTATATCAAAACTTCTAACTATGAAATCTTATATAGCTACCATTGTGCTAAATAGGACACACTCCTAGGCAAGTATGGACAAGGCAAATCCTTGCTTCTCCATCTGACTCTTCCCCCTAAAAACGTTCCACAGAGGGTCTCAGGTCTCTGTTCCATACTGTCGTGTGGAAGAGATGGAGAATCCCATTCAATGAGGCAGAAGCACCTACTGTGATATAAAGGCTTCTGTTTGTGGCAGATGGATCCTGGATCCACTCTCATACCCCATGTTTCCTTTTCCTTTCTGTTGTCTCTTATTTTTTCTAATGACAATGTTTAGATTGTAGGGATGCAGTACACTTTGACCATACAGAGTGCAAGCAACTAATCTGTGAGAAGGGTCAGGCTGGGAGGCATCAACTAACACAAAGTTACCCAGTATCTTTGTGATAAAATTAACATTGGTATCAGCTAAAGTAGCACTCTAGATTCATTTAAAATATGACTTACCTATGTGCTGTCATAACAGGTCCCGTTCATTCAATGGATCTCATCTAATTGGGACTAACCAATAGAATAGCGAGTTGGGCCTAACCATTGGAGTAGTATGGGGGTGCTGGGCTGACCTGGGATGTCATGTGGTTGAGGGGTACTGCAGCCTGCAAGCTTTGAGTTATTCACTCCTGGCCTAGCTCTCACCCCCTTAAATATTCCATTCTTTTCTAAATATGAGAAAGTAATATAAAAACAAAAGGGCTTTAACATGTTGTACACCCAGATGTGGTGCATGAAAATAAGAAGAGCTGTGTTCAATCAGGTTGAAGGGCTATCACATCCACACTCCTGATTCCCATAACAGCCAGTCACATGCCTATAGGAAGCCCACAAATGGGTTGTTGGGACATGAGGGTAACGAGTCTCTCTCGCTCTCTTGTTATTGTTTCCAAGCCACTGGTATTCAAAGATATGTTGCCTCTGATGCTGGTAGTACTGTGCAGCCAAGAGCTACTGATAGCTTAATCCTCCATGATTTTGCTTAATCCCCTTTTAAAGCCATCTAAGTTGATGGAGATATCACACATGCACTATGATCAAGACATGTCGTCCTGACCTTGTTTTGTTTTGTTTTTCACTGTTTTACTCTCTTGGCTTGCTGCTTGAGGGAAATTAATTATAGTACAGAGATTATATATAAACCTGCAATTTATGGAAGTTACAAAAAATTATGCCGTTTTCTAAAATAACTACCACATAATTTATTAGATTTGAGAATGAAATAGGAAAGATCCACCTTGACAACTGGAAACACTTCCCTTCCTAGGATTATTCCCAGGATAATTGCCAGAGTTACCACCATCCGCTGGCTAAGTAAGAAGATGGCATAGTATTCAGTTTAACAAATATACAGTTGCTGGGCCTGATTAGAATTGGGAGTCCAATATTTCAAGGTTTATAGCTTCCCATTCCTGATATTTACAATAAGATCCACATGCCTGTGAGACACTGTTAAATTTGGAAGTGCAAATGATTGTCTCTATACCGGCCGCTGCCTCCAAAGAGCGTTCAAAATACAGGTTGCTGGATGAAAAGCAGGTTTGTATGTGTGTGAAGGGCTCTTAAAGGCCCTTTTAAGACTGAGCAACCCTCTAATAATTTGTGTTACAGCAGGTATAAATCATTTATCAGACAAACCATTTCTCTTTCCACTGTCATCTAGACAGCAACTAAATTCAGAGGAATAGGGAGAAATTCACAGTACTTCAAACCTGCAAGTCCCGGCTCCACTACATCACTGCCTGGGATGAAAAACTATAAAACATGATTGGCCAAACTAAGCCCTGTTGATTTTGACTGGACAGCTTTATGCTCTGCTGTAAAAATTAGTAGGCTATGAGGGTGCTTAAACATGGGTGGACTGTGCCATCCATTTAAATATAGATGTGAGGAAAGTTATTTTAACTGCCGTTTAATCAGTGCATCATGGGGAAGCATTAGGAAGGAGGCACTGCTTTGCATACATTAAAAATGTAGAGGTGAAAACCCACATTTGTGACTAACTGGCCACCGGTAGAGCTGTTTAAAAACGTATGCCATATAGGGAGTACCACTTACAACCTTGCTACTACATTCTGGACTGCTTGCAGCTTTCAGATATTTTTCAAAGGTAGATTGAAACAAACTATGTTGCAGTAGTCTAAGATGGAGCTTGGAAAAGTTATTTTTGAACTACAACAATTAGAAATCAAGCATGGACACTAATCCTGATAACTGGAGGATTCTGGGAAGTGTACAAAAATAAAACTTTTTCCAAGCACCAGTTGAAGTGTATCAAGGATATTCATTGTTCTTCAAGAGAGGGTGCAACTGGCACATACAGGAAGTCTAGTGTAGGTTCCAAGATTCTGCTGCTTCATTCAGCACTGCAAAAAATGAAACAGAGAACTGGGAAATTACATCAACCTCTGCATCCTCATGGACCTCACCCAAAACTTTCTTGTCAGTATTGAATAGCAGGGAAGGCAAGATGGTGCCTGGTGACATATTGTAGATGTCTATGAAGGGGATCAGCTGGCTCTTTCTTTTCCTTGATGGTTTATTCCCAGACATGTCAAATGGGCTGCCAAATGTTGAACACCCAGGTGTTCTTGGACTGCAACTCCCAGAACCCCTGGCCAGCACAGCTGGTGGTGAAGGCTTCTGGGAATTGCCATCTAAGAACACCTGTGTTACTCAAGGTTGGGAACCATTGATCTAGGGTGATACCATGGTCAGTATCAAATGTCATTGAGAGATTGGGGAGATTGTGTCCTAGTATGGATGCTTGAGGAATTTGACCTCTATGAATTATCATAGAAAATGACCTGATATGCATCATTTGAATGAAAGAATAGGGACTTTGTTGATAATCAGATTTTGTACTCTACAATGCCATTTCCTCTTAATTTTCACCATCTGTACAACAGACCATTGTTGCACGATTGTTCTTTCTTCAGCATTTATTTGCAAAAGGCAATATTCATTACATCTATGCATTTGTGGAAGCCCTACTGCTTTTAACAAGTTAATCTCTAATTTGCATAACTACAAGCAGGAAACCACATGCAGCACTATACCTGAGGGCCATTATACTCCACATTTCTCTAACAAGATACTGGCCATATTCTGAGAAAGAATATATACTTGAGTATCTATTTAAATACATATTTTGAGATTTTTAGATCCACAGATTGATAAGAAAAGCAGGGAAGAATTACTGGTAAAAGTATTTGAAAGGGACACAGATTTACCCAGACCCAGTCTCATATATTGTATTTAATGTGAAATAAATATGTAGCGATTTAAATGTGCTAAGGTTCCTCTGCTTTATTTAATAGGATTCCACTGTGAATAAGTGCATTGTGAATAAGTGTTCTACCACGATTTTGTAACATTTGTTAATATAACATTTAAGTTTTTTCTAATCAATACATTCCCACCATAAACTTACAAAATTAAATCATCTTGATCAACAATACCAAATCATATTTTTTTAAAAAATCTATTTTCTAAGTGTCAGAAAATATACCTGTACTAAGATATTATTCCTTTCATGACCAATAACTAAATGTGATGCTAGGTGGATCACCCAAGGACCTACTTTTTCTCATTCAAATACTGTACATTATTTACTAGGATGTTTGTTAATTAGAATTACCCATTTTCTTGTCACAGGCTGGAACGAATGGATACATGGCTCCTGAAATCCTAAAGGAAGAAAACTACTCTTACCCAGTGGACTGGTTTGCTATGGGATGCAGCATCTATGAGATGGTTGCTGGTCGAACACCATTCAAGGATTTCAAAGAAAAGGTCAATAAAGATGAAGTTAGAAAAAGAACCTTAGAAGATGAGGTGAAGTTTGAACATGCTAATTTTGATGCACCAACGAAAGATATCTGTAAATTGTTCTTGGCAAAGAAACCAGAAGATCGTTTGGGAAGCAGGTATAGCTTTATTACCCTCAGTTAACACATAACTGACTTGTTTTGTCAGTCTTTTAACATTGACAAAACAGGTCAGGGTTAAAAGACTGGTTACATGTGCAGTTTCAGGTCAAATTCAGTTGCCTTTAAAACTCTTTAAACTCTAGAATCTAGAGTCTAGATGGCTTGGGACCCGCATATCAGAAACAGGTTTCTTGAGAACATGCCGATGTCTTCAGAATTTCTGATAAACAATGCTCCCCCTGTTTTCTTTTTCAGGAGTGTGCTTTGTAGTTGCAAAGTAGAAGTGTGACAACCCCAGACCTACTGGAGTATGCCACCCTGTAATAAGAAGGCACCCTACTTTTTAAATACTCCTTATGCAGATGAGTGTCTACCCTCTTATTTTTTCCTCAAATGTCAGGAGCATTTTAATTTATCATGGCATTTAGAATTTTATGTAATGCCTCTGTATTGTTTCTGGGCCTTTATTTTCTTTAATTGTGATTTGGGCCAGTATCCTGTTGAGCATTACCATATGTGGAGCTGAAATTGTTAAATAAGTTGCACCAGTTTGGGAAGATGTCAGTCCCATGCCTGGTCACTAAAGAGCCATGACCACAGGATATTAGCTGCTCATGTTATGGGGGTGGGGTGGGATTGTTGTTCACCCAGAAATCTGATCCGACAAAAGACTGTAGGAAAATGTTTTAAATACTTTACATCAAAATCTTAATACCATGTAGAAAGTAGAAAAGAGATGACAAAATGGAACATATTCTGTTCAGTAAACATGTTGTATTATTACTGTAGAAAACTGGTTCAAAGAGCAGTTGAGGTCAGATGCAACATGTCTGAGGCAGAGAAATCATTTCATCCAGCCCTGCAGACAACACTGGACACAACTTGTTTATGCCTCGCTCTCTGCCCTAACACCCCTGGAGCACCAGAAGTGGAAAGGTGGAGATTTCCTTCTCTGCCTTTACAGCAGCTCCACAAAATCTACACTATGGCCATGGCCATGTCTTTCCTAGCATAGATAACTCTACCGTTATCCACTTAATTTGTGAAAAAGGCCTAAATACTGTATTTCCTTGAACCGGACTGAAATGAGCTTTGGTTGGACAGTAACATATGGCAAAAAAACCTGGATGCAGGGCTATTGTCTGAGGCCTGGACTGCTTGTTTTTAACCATTTTAACTTTTAAATAATGGGAGGAAGAGGATATTTTTCATACATAATTTCCTTTCCTGAGTGTTTAAGAGGTTGATGAGTGCATTTTTAAAGTGGCTGTTTTCAGACTATGTGGTTTCTTTTAATGAGGCTGAAGAACTATGGCCAGTAGCCTGTTGCTAGTCCTAACTAAAGTAGATCCCTTTACTCAGGATTTCTGCTGAACCCTTTGAAAGCTCCTCACAGGCTTTCTGCTCAGGATGATCATACAAATGGATACTCACACACAAAACACTCCCTGTGCTATCCTTGCAATATATGTTTCTCCCTTGAGGGGCTGTCCTTGTGTTACAATTCTTTTTTATTCCTTCAAAACAGGAAATTACTTCCTATGATGAATTTGAGAGAAACAACCATATTCTGATCTTTAAGGCATTTTAAAGAAATTCAGCACTGGAAAGAAAATATGTGTCTTACTTTGCACAGGCAGCTGTCAAATAGTAAATATTGGCTGAAATCTTGTTGCTTAGAGTAGTAAGTTGCCCATTGAATCAGTCGGGATTTAGTGAGGTAAATCCTCCATAGGCGCCACTGATTCAATAGCCCTACTCTAGCTGCAACTTACTAGGCTCAGCAATAGAATTGTAGCCACTGCACTATTGTTTCTAGGCTGCTCTGTAAATCGTATCTATAATCACCAAGAGACAGGGAAGCATTTGGCCAAATGCTGTCATACACCATGCATATTTGTGTTCTGCATTAAAATAAAAAATATTTAATTTTTAGAATGCATCTCTTTTCTAACAAATTTTATGAACTAATAAATATTTTACAAAGGAAATTAATGCATAAACTGCATTCAACTTTGTACATATTTCAGCTGAATCAAAGTATACTTTATATTTAAAATATTAATAGTTCCAATATTCTCATTCTGCTTTGGAGATATATTTGTGCATGCATATTTTCGTCATGTTATTTTAACGTTATTTACAAATACAGAAAAAACAGTGTTTTTAAAAACAAAAGAGCTGAAGGGAGGAATGAGATGGAATGGAAATATTTTTACAATATCATGGGTACTCTTATGAATGTGAATCTGCATATCTTTTTCAAAGAATATATAGTTTTAGTATGCTGATGACTTTTAGTGAGCTAAAACAAAGGATTCACTTGGCTAAAATGTACAATGAATGTTACTTTTTACTACATTATTGTTGGATAAGGAAGTTTAACAGAGGAGCAAGATATATGACAGCACATCATGCAAAATAGACAGTGAGTAGTAAAAAAAGGGTTGCATGGAATGTTTAGGTCCTAATGATTTGACTTTTCCAGAGTTCTTGGACTGACAAGTGTGTGTCTTGATCTTGTAAGTCTGTTTGGTCTACTTAGATTAGCCCAACAGCATAATATCTATTTGACAGCAGTACAACCAAAATATGCAACCTCATATGCTGACAAACAGCTGTACTCTGAGTATCCTGTACCTATGGTAAAGTGTTTTAATGTGGAATTCTAATATGCATGGAAGATACAGTCCTACTCCTCCACCTTTCTTTATAGTACAAGAATCTACGGATTCTAGTGCTAGAAACTATGTAATACTACTGCATGGAAGCTATGTACTGTACTGTATTTTACTTGAAACATAAATGGATTTAACAACTTTCCTTGCTCCTCTTCTGTCTATTAAAGAGAAGGAAAGGCTTCTAACTGTGCATTCCAGGTTGTACATAGTACTATCAGTAGGAGCATGGATATACACAAATATATAGTATAAATACTTAGTTACTTCAATGATATTGTCACTTAATCTGGTCAACCTCTAGTCTTCTTGCCATTATTCATGTATACTCATAATTATATATACTGCTATGTTGAGTATGATACTAAGCACCCATCTTAAGTACATGTCTGTGAAGATTCTCAGTCATCCAGGTGATGTTATCTGGAAGTTGAGTCATGGCAACTGGACTTCTTTCTTGTTAGTTTGAAACGTTTCACTACTCATCCAAGTATCTTCTTCAGTCTGAGAAAAGTTGGTAGGAGATCCCTGATATATCCTCCTCTTTGGTTTCACTTCCCCCGGTCTGAATAGGCTCATTAGATGGACAAAGGACTGGGGGTAAGTGAAAATCCCACTTCTGCAATCCTTCTGCACCCATTGCCATTGGTCATTAACAGTGATCTTTCCAGTGGGTGTGGTCCCGATCTTTCTGGAGACAGATGAAAAGGCAGCATGATAAATAGGAGTCAGATTGTATCTAAGTTTTCCACCCCTGTTGAGTGATGAGTTTTCTATATGCACATGTATGGCCTCCCTGACCACTCTCTCAAACCATCTATCTTCTCAGTCCAAAATGGGTACATCTTGGTCATCAAAAGAGTGTCCTTTGTCTTTCAAATGGAGGAACACTGCTGATTGTGGTCCTGAGCACAGGAGGGGCAAGCAAGTTGCCATGACTCAATCCTATTGAATTTAATAAGATATACTTCAAAGCAAACATGTTTAGGATTGTGTTCAACATCTGAGTACTAATCCTACATCTTTACGGATAAATAGGAATTACTTCCAAATGAATTCACATAGGATTGTACTGTATGTCTGCACTCCTGTTCACATTTACTTAGGAAGAAGTTCCATTCGAGACAGTAGGATGAATTGTATATCTGGGTAAATTTTTAATAGCACTAGATTATGAATTGTTTGGGGAAATTCAGTATAATATGACATTTACATTTGAGATGTGCATTTAAGGGTCCTAGGTAAGCTAAGCAAGCACACTTCTTGCCTTCTTGAGAAAAGATGTGAAACGTAAGTGCTGGCTTTAATGCTTTCAATTGTTACACTGTTATGTGTATCATTTTTGGTTTGCTTTTTGTAAGAGTATATTCATTCAGATGATGATGATGATGATGATGATGATGATAATAATAATAATAATAATGATAATAACAATATTGATAACGATAATAATA